TATAAATAGATATAAAATGTATTAAAATATATATGAAAATATATCTATAAATATATAACAATGTAAAAATTTATAAAGATATAAAATAAAAATATACAGAAATATAATATATAAAATATATTTAAATATATGTATAAATATATATAAGTATATAAGAATATAAAAATAAATAAACGTATAAAATAAACAAATATACCAATATATCATATATATTAATATATATATGCATGTGTATAAACATAAATACACATAAATATAATATATATAAAAATATAAGTATATATACATATATATACATGTATATATATTTCTACATATATATACATATACATGCATTCACATATCTATGTCTATTTTTAAATATACATGTATGTATGTATGTATGTATGTATGTATGTATGTATGTATCTGTGCCTAGGTCAACATATATATGTGTGTATGTGTGGCTATATATTTATAAATAAGGGTATATATTTCTGTATATATTTATAAATATGTGTATATATACACCTGTGTGCATGTGTAGGTGTGTATATATATCTGTATGGGGATATATATATATATATATATATATATATATATATATATACATATATCAGAGGAGGGGGGGAATATTCTGCTGCAGCACTGGCTGCTCCCTCCTTTCCCACAGAATTCAAGGCAAGCAGCAGCAGCAGCGTGGGGATGTCGAGCTTTGGATGAGGGTGTGATTATTCTCCTAAAATATATGTAAAAAGGAACGAGCATACACATCCATATATTTGTATTCATGCATAAGCATAGCTACATGTACAGACAAACCCACACATAAATATATATGGGTACACATATATTTGTGTATATATTTATAATGTAAACACATATTTCAGAGTCGCTCCCATCATGTTTCATGGATATGGAAAAAAACCCCACAGCTGACCCATATAAAGTTCATTTTTCCCCACTGAGACCCCCCCAGGAGTGGGGGCTGCCCGGTAACCGGCAGGACACTGGTGGGAGCTCTCTTTTTTTCCCCCTTTTCGGTGCATCAGCACTTCCCAAAAGTTTTCTTTCTTTTTCCGTGGATGACTGGCTTCCACCGAGCCACGGGTGTTTCTTACTCAGGGCTTCCAGTCAGCGCTGCTGCCACTTCCCCTGCTCTGTTCTGTGTGTCCCCTCCGGGTGTCCCCTCCGGGTGTCCCCAGCCCTCTCTGCCCATCACCCCGTCCCACCCCAGCCCTTTCCCCCAGCAATTCCTCCTCCCCTGCTCTGCTCAGCTGTTCCTTTCTTACCCCGTTCTGCAGTTCTGTGTTTTCACTTCCCCCTTCCAGCTGCTCCTTTTGGAGGAGACCTCTGCACCCACCCAGGGCTCCTCTCCCCCTCCTGCCCGTCCAGGCTCCCCCCAATCTCTCCTCACATTTTCTGCCTCCCCCACCGTCCCCCAGGCTTTGAGCACCTCTGTGTCAGCTGAGATCTCCAGGGTTTTCCAGGATCCCAAAGGGGTCCAGGAGGACGGGGATGGACATGGGCAGGGGTGGGTTAGTGCCAGCTCTGGCTCACCCACAGGATTGTCTCTGATCTGCTGAGCACTGGCTTTTCCTGCCAGAACTGCAGCCTCAAAGTGAATCTGTTATTTCAACACGTTCCTTTAAAATAAACACAGGATTGCACTTTTCATTCCATTTATTTATTGTTGTTCTTTCAGCAGCGGGCTGGGAGCAGATTGTGGGAGGAACACTCACACACTTGGGTGCTGGGAAATGACTCCTCTCCATCACAGCAGCCCCACTGGTCCAGGGACCCCTCAGGACCCCTGAGCTGGGCAGGTGACACATGTCCCACCACAGGGACATCACCCCTGGTGGCAGCAGCCCCAGCTGTGCCCCTCCAAAGATGTGACATCACTGTGACACCGAGCTCTGGTGACCTTGCACATCATCTGTCCAACACCTGCCTGCCCAGATCGTTCTGAGGAGAGGAACAGCAGGAATGGTCCATGATGGATTCCTTGCCAACTTCTTGCAGCACAAGCCAGCACAACAGATGGCCACAGGACAGGGCTGTGCTCATCATCTTTCCTGCAGGAAATGGACCTCAGACACGGAGCTTTCTGTGGGTCTGTACCCAGGAATTCATTTTCTGCTTTGGAGTGTGATGTGGGAGTGATTTAAGGCATCTCCTGGCAGGGGCATGGGCAAGGCAAAGTGTCTGTCCAGCCACAGTGGAAATTAGGAACTGGGACATCCTTAGAATAATGAAATCCCAACTGTACCCAGGAATCGCTTCATTTTCTCCTTTGGAGTGTGATGTGGGAACAATTTAAGGCATCTCCTGGCAGGAGCACGGAGAGGCAAAGAGCCTGTGCAGCCACAATAGAGAACCCCTGTGGGATTAGGAACTAGGGGGGCATCCTTAGAATAATGAAATCCAAGCATGGTTTGGGCTGGGAGGGAATAAAGAGCATCTATTCCAGCCCATGCCTGGCTCACAGGTGTCCCTGTGCCACTGACAGGTTTTTCTCTCCTTGTCCTAAACCCTTCTCAGTGTCACACAAATATAAAAACCACAGATTTTTTTTTTTTCCCCAAGTCTAGCATCTTCAATTTTTCCCGACTTTAAAGAAATTTCCAGGCCTGCCACCTGCCCAGCCAAGGGACAATGCGCTCTCAATGACATCCACTTTTCTCATCGTGATGTTAACCAGCAGCACACAAATATTGAATATGAGCCAGGGCAGGGATGACACCCCACGGAGGCCTTTGCACAAAGGGAATTTATCTCCACAACAATGATAATTGCTTTTCGATGCACTTATGTAACTGCGAGGCTTTGGAATCTGGTCTTGTTTATACCCGGTGTAAATCAGGAAGAAAAAAATTCATCACATGTGGCAGTGTGTACTCAATCACTCGCAATCCTGGGCTGGCTATTTCCTTGCTTTATTTTTGTTTTCTTCTCTTAAATAAACCTGCCCTGAGAATGCAAGAAAGCAGAATACAAACCAGGCCTGAAGTGCCTTTTAGAAGCTCATACCGCCTTGAATGAGCTGCTAAAGGGTTCATTTTCCTGCCCTAACAAAAGCCAGGAAATACAAAATTAACCCCTTCCTCCCAAACAATCCCTGTCAGCGCCGGGGCCACGCTGCCTTTGTGAGGGCGAGAATAGAAACACGAGCTCGGAGTGTGGGGGTGGGAGGTGACGCTTTCTGAGAGCAGATGGGACCCACTGCCATTATCCCGGGGCTTAAACACATCCCTGCTCCTCTGCCAGAACATGTCCGAGGACATGAGGACATGAGGACATGAGAGCATCGAGGGCTTCTTGGGAAAATGACTTCATGGGTGATGGCACAGCGGAGTGTGGCTTTGTCTGTCCTGGCTCCTCCAGGGACCAGGGGTCTCCCAGTGCAGCCTGGCCGATGTTTTTTGGAGATTTCAGAGCTGCAGAGAGCTTGGCTGTGCCTGACAGCCACGCCAGTGTGTGCCAGCCCGGTGACAAGTGACACAACCCCGGGCCTGGAACGGGCCCATTGCACAAAGCCCTCACCCGGCCCCACTGGTTATTCAGGCTTTTTAACCAGTCACCCATGGCCAGAATCAAATGGAACCAGTCCAGAATTACAGCACCTCTGGAACAGACCCCAGCCTGGATCTCGCTGCCTTTCCAGTGTGAGTTTTGCCTGAATAAAGGTACGAAGGATCGAGCCCCAACACTTGAGACACTGGACAAAAATGCATGTGGGAACATTTGGAAACCCTGCTCGATGCATTTCTTCAGCGTGTGTAACATTTTCTCTGAATTCAGTTTCACAACCCAGCATTTCCTTTTGTAAATATTTGGACAGATTTTACAGAGGCACAGATTCATAAGAAACAGAAGGAAAAAGAAAGGAATTATACATAGGGAGAGAGAGAAATAAAAAGAAGGAAGCAAGCGAGCAAGGGAGGAGGGAAGGACAGATGGAGAGAAAGAAAGGGAAACAAAAAAAGGATTCAGAGATGAAAGGT